GCTGCCACCTTTGGGATGACTCTGCTACGTACCGACTGGCCACTTTGGATTCAATTGATATCCGTACCAAGAGGTTTATAGGTGGCTCTGAATTAGTGGAGGCGAAGCTGCAGAGCCTTGAACACCGCCGCAAAGTTGCCTGCATATCGGTATTTTACAGGATATATCACGGAGAGTGTGCGATGGAATTACACGATTTGGTTTCGCCTTCCCCTTTCCATCACCGGGGGACTAGATGTAGGCTTGGGTTCCACCCCTATATTGTGGATATCCCAAAGATTCACACGAATCGTCAAAAAAAGAGGAGACCATGATAACGAACACAGCGAAAGCGGATTTAACTTTTGAGGCCAGCCCCCATATCTTTCTACATTAGTTTTCATTTGAGCATGCGTTCCATCTTCGACCTCAATGTCACTTTCCATCGAGTGAGATGGAGTTCAAATGCGCATTTATATTTTATAAAAAAAAAATCTACTTTTGAATACAGAACACAGTTATAATTGGACAATGGTCTACGCCTACTGTATTTTTATGTATTTTTTCCGTATTGTTTGTGTCTGATGTCTGTTATCGTGCCATAAATAAAAATAAAATATAGGAAATGAAACTATTTTTCCGGATTTAAATCGCGTTTATTTTTTTTTTTTCAAACAAACCGACATTTCGGGCCCTTTACAGATTAGGAAAAATAGTTTCATTTCCTATGTGTAACAATCGCGAAAACCTAAAAATAAAATAAATAAATAAATTCGCTTCATTTCCCTTTGTGCCACCTTAATTTTGTGCAATATTTTGCTTAGTGTCCATGTTTCTGCACCGTAGGTGAGGATCGGCAAGACACATTGGTTATAGATTTTGGTCTGCAGACACTGTGGGAGTTTCTACTTCGACGTCTTCTAGCTTACTAAAGGCAGCCCGACCCAAACTGATTCGCATTTCTATCTGCACATCTTTGTATGAAATATATTAAATTTAAATGCGATATTATCATTATAAAATAAATATAATAATAATGAATATTACACATCACAGACGTTGCTCTGATCTCAAAATAAGTAGCTAAAGCATTTGTGTTATGGAAATCTGAAACAACGATGGTACTACAAACACCCAGACCCGAGACAATATAGGTAGAAAGGTTAGTTTCTACATTGACCCAGCCGGGAATCGAATGCGGGAGCTCTGAGATGGCGACACCATGCAAACCGGTGTGCCACTCGACCACCGAGGCCGTCAAAGTACAGTGTACGTCATTATAACGTATACTGCACTTTTGCGTGAACATAAGAACAATGTTGTCAGATTCTGAATCCTTTTTTTAATGCAAGAGGCTTTGCGAGGTAAGAAATTCTGAACGAATCCAGAGGACAACACCGCCGCCCTCTCTGCGACCTCACCAAGAAACTTATATATTACACTGGAGATTGCTTTTCGAACATCGGACTGTAGCAAAAAATGACCTTGAATTCAGATTTTTATGTCTTGCATCTCTTTCCTTCATCTTTTAAAGAAGTTTTGATAATCAAAACTAAAATTCAAACTAAAGAAAGAAATGTATTTGAGTATGTATTGAGATTTTTGTGATAAAACTCCACTAGTTTTTGTTAAGATTATGAATACAAAGATCGAACACAAAGAAACATTTTTTCGTCCACCCGGTGGGACTTGAAGCCACGTTCATGCTGTACTGTAGCACTCCTCTTACCAACTGAGCTACGGATCCGTTACCGAGCCGTCGAAATTTCCCTATGTGTTTTTGTTTTAGATATTTGTACTGACTTTCGGCTTTCGTCGCCGTTAGTGACATCTAGGGAGAGATTTTTGAATACCCTTCTGACCGCAGCCTAATAAAAAATAAAAATACCAAAAACAAACGTTTCAATTAGTTTTTGGAATGATGCTCCAAAAAATATATATAAGCATACACACTGCGTCTTTTTAAATATATTTTAAAACAGATTTAAGAAAAATCACTGTAACTGTACTAAATTATTACTCTTCGTTTATGGGTGCTTCTTTCGCATGCATTGCACTAGACACGACGTTTGAAGAGGATAAAATACATCAGCAAAGGTGATTGACCTTGTCTTGAACATTAAATTCTTAGTGCAAACTCGAGTATAGTATATAAGCTTCTTGGACCCCACCCAATATGAGCTGTCAAAATGACGTGACATTTATAAACAAAGAAAATCATTGAACAATCAATATAAACTCTCCTTAGCCATAATACGACATTTAATATGCTGCCATCGCCACACTAATGATTATTTATCTATACTGCAAAATAATTACATGGGCCCAATATTATTGTAGTACGTTATCTCACGCTATGGTATCCCGCTTAACTTCGGCTGGTAATATGTATTAATTTCTGTATATGTATGTCCGGACCCTTATTAATATGTATGAATAGCCTTATCCCAGATGTTTAGTTTGTTAGAAGCTTAGTAGAGGGTTTTAATGTAAATCCTTGCAGAAAACGATTGTGAAAAAGCAGAGGTTTCTGGGTCTTTCTTTATTAAACAAATATGCTCAAAGCTTTCACAAAAGCGAAATAATCAGGCTAATAAAAGCCTGTGAGCCAATCAGCCTCAAGAAACGTCACAACACTTTATGTAATTAATTATACATTTCGAAACCCTGATGCATCCATGAAACAAGCTCTTTTGATAAACTTTGGTAGCAATACGAATCCTTGAGGCACACCCTTAGTAAGTAAAAAGTTAGGAAGTAAAAGGACACCCTGAGGTACACTCCACTTAATGTACTTATAGGCCGAAGCTATAATCGCAAAAGATATATATAGTGAGTTCGAAATGAACACTCGTATTTTAGATTGGTTCGACTTTTGAAAATTGAAAATTTTCGTATTTGAAGTTTTAATATTGCGTCTTGTCATCATTTTCATCATTACCTGTTATATTTGAGATTTTTGTCGTAACTATCGTAGGTCTGCCATTTTTATATACAAATACAGCTTTGATTGACTGAACGATGTTCATAAAAATTACAGCTTTTAAATTAAAAGTATGATTTTTTAAGACTTGTTCGCTACGCTTTCTCGTGACAGTTACAGTGCCACTCAGAGCTTCGCCCGTCCGCCGCCTTGACACATAAAGTATGACCGCAGAACTTCCCTCGACGAACTCTTTCACAAGGAGCTCTGTTTACCTAGTGCTACTTACACCAGTAGTCAAACATTGTAGATATGGTCGCCCGACATTGTAATAGTGTTGCATGTTTGTAAACACGATTATAAATGTCCATTTCTATCAACGACTATTATGACACTAGCAAGTGGTGAATTGACGTTGGCTTTGTATACTTCGATGGCTTTCTAGAATAGCAGCAGCCCATCTCAAAATCATCTAATTCATCACGATAATGGTTTGAAAACCACTGAAGCGTATCTGGGCCACAGAACCAGCGAATCGTATACCGCCCCATGTCGTCACGTGATTATTTTAAACGGAAAGTTTGGTATTTTATTCAGAATAAAATTAAGCACTTTCTGAATACAGATGTGTAATAAACTCATCATTTTCTCTAGCAAACCATGGCTATGTTGCGTCCGTATTATTTAGTAGAGCAGTAAACCTCCCTTAGACTTATTTCTGCAGCCGGTTTTGAAGGACAAGGGTGCTGGTGACTTGACGTGAATGACCATTCTATTATCTTTTTGACAGATGTCATTCATTTTCTGGGAGTAGTTTTTTTTTTTCAAAAATAGAGATCCTTGCCAAAGAGTTCGTCCAGGGATGTACTGCCTTACCTAAATTTTGCCGCCACGCAGTGAGCATTACGGGCACAGATCTTTGTGATTTAAAGCTCTGAGTGGCACTGCAACTGCTATAGACAGGCGTGTCCCTTAATGTTCGTCGTAATACTTGGTATCATAAAAAATATGCGATATAATATTTTGCGGTAAACCAACTAATGTGAACTCAGTTTTCAAGGTACAAAAAAGATGTGTCATAGCAATTTGTCGATTGATGATATCTGCAAAACATATTTTAAAGATCTTCGACTACTGACTCTTTCACTTTACGTCTACGTGACTGCCGTGGACCTACTTCCGAATTCACACATAATGTTCACGCGAACTATAAAGGCAAAAGACCCCAATACAAAAGATCTGCAACAAACAGAGAAATCCATACTGTCTGCTTTCTCGATCTGCAGCTCAATTGGTGGAGCGGTCGCCCGGGTATGACACAGATGCAGGTTCGAGACCCGTCAGATCGAAGGATTTTATTTTTAATAATTATAACAAACTAATGCACTAATTAAATTAAATCAGCAGTAGAGATCCTAACCTAATTACAACTACAACACTAAGTACCACCTTAGCTATTTCTTTTTGTGAAGGGCAAGTGCCCGTTCCCACTTGTCGGCTGTCGGACCCTGACTTCCATCGGATGTTTCATTGGCAGAGCATTTCATATGAAGTTATTCACACTTGTCCAAAACCAATTTTGCGTCGGCTCCGACAAGAAATGTCGGGTGTTTTGCCAGCCCTTGTTTTTCCCTCAGGATTAGGTGCACCCAATATTTTCTTTCATTAGCTGTGTTTATTCGTTTTCTTCTCAAATTTTTCGTTGATGTCCATCGCACACAGTCGCCTCGTAGAGTGTTAAAAATTGACACCAGATTCGACCGTGGCCGACAATCGATTAGTGTGAACAGAGGCGCCGACACCCGATTAAGATCCGGGCCCGACGGACCACTAGTGGGAACGGGCTGTAAGCTTGCTGGTGAAATTACAGGTACATGGGACTTGTCAACTTATGTCTCAAGGTGACGGGCGCAGTGGCAGTGCACCTCAGATCTTTACGACACTGCAACTGCTATGGACAGGCGTTATGCTTACCACCAGCCACATCACTTATTTGTCGCATCCCTGGTATCATAAAAAAAACCCAAACAATCATGGTAGTAAAACATCATGGTATCCAATTAAAATCAATATTATAATTGTATATTTTTGTCAACAGAATGGTGGGGTGCTCGCACATTTTGCTGTGACTCCGACGAGTGCAACACCGGGTGGACGCAGCGTGGGACCCTTATTTTACCAGTGGTGTTAATCACCGCCCTTTTACGCTGACCTTGCTCTGTTCTGTTTAGTTAAGTTATAAGTTTTATTGCACGTTTTAACTTACACCCAATATTAACTTTAATTAATTAATTAATAAAAATTACGGTATTTTGAGATGCCGTGTAAGCAGAGAACCGATTAGTATACTGTTCAAACTTCTTCGGATTCCTCGCGATAATTTATCATTCGCTTGCTTACAAACAGACGCGATTTGAATTGAATGATTAATCTTAGAGCGGGTACACACGGCGACTTCTAGCAGCGACGCAAACGCGCGTTTGTGAGACACGCGAATGCATTCGGCTACCACGATTTCACGTACATTAATGACGAATCTGAATTCTATTTACTTGGCAAGAACATTTAAATTCCTCGGGATAATATAACAGCGCGATCGACGCGCAGTAGCCGCGCGGCCGCCGCGTAGTCCAAAGAGAAGCCAGACTCGCCCGCCCGCCCGGGGTGCGGCGGGCGAGGTGCATTTGTTCCCTTCCAGTCCTCCTCGCGCGCTATATTGCTATTTCATTATTTATAAAGAAAACATTCTTTTGGACTTACAGCTTAAGCCAAAGCGTCCAACAAGACTTAAAGAATATATAAAATTTGAATATAACATACAAGATACAAAATAATACTTAAAAACTAAGCAAAGAAAGAAAGAAGATAATGCTATAACAGTTTGGCCTCTCGACACGTGCACGGGGTGAAGTTCGTTTCAAATAAAAACGACCTTACGGTTTATATGCAGTTATATCGATGCAATCATTATAAAAGTGCATCGCGTTTGCATCGCGATTGCATTGCTGCTTAAATCGCGTGTGTGTAGTAGGTAGACGATTAAAAACTGCATCGCGACTAAATCGTTGCAAATTCTCTGCTAAAGTCGCCGCTCTTAATGTGGCATAAAAAGCTTTTTAATAGCGCGCGATATTTTGTCGCGATTCGCGCTACTTGTCCCATATAGTCGCCTGTCTTCGCGTATGTTTGATAACCTATTACGCTTTATAATAATCAGTTTGCACTTAGTAAAATTTACTCTTCATTTACTTAGGAAATCTTTAATGAAACCATAGAATAATTTTAAGTCTGCATTAATAAATATCTTAATCCATAAATTATAGAAACGGAACAGCGATTTTGCCCTCTCCAACTTACCTGTAGTTGATAAACGATAGCGATGTAGAGTTTAATTTTGTTGTAATAGTGAAAATAGGAACGAAAAAAAAATTTATTTGTTAAATACATACAATACAGATTAAATATACAAATTAATAATATTGCCCTGCGCCCTTGGCGACTGTTTTGTTTCTCGATCGATAACGGGCTTGTGCACGCGTCACACACGCCCAATTCTAAGCAAGTCGGAGAGAGAGCGCAATATCGCAATCCCAATTCAGTGATTAATAGCCGAGTCTGCAGCGAGTAAATAATCTTTCTATAGTGAAATGTTTAATAAGTCAAAGGTTTTCAAAATTTTAGATACAAGTTGGCGCCAGCGCGCCCTATCTTGATCTCCTCCCAGTTCTCTGCGTGCAGGGCACGAAGGTCTATCTCCACTTCGTTCCTTTATCGTTATTTGGGTCGACCAACCGATCTTCGGCCACTAACACGAAACGCCAGCTCATGAACAGGCGTCCTTTCGAGGTATCCGATATCGAGATGTCCTCCACTTTTTGCTCCTTTCGAAAGATACCGGAGATTACTTGATTGTAATCATTGGTATATAGATACTTATCGCGCGCAACATGCACAATTAGTGGAATCATATCGCGCGAGCAAGGCTTATGGCTTAAAATAACCCCGAACAATATAGTGTATTCACTCACAAGAAAACTCACACTTCACCTTCTTTGAAAATCGCTTAAGTCGTTCAAAGCAGCGAAAAGGTATTAATCAATTGTAGGGAGATACTTAAGTTCAAGCTTAACTTGGCCTTAATTTCAACTCAAACTGGAGTTTTGTGAAGGCGGAACGCGTGAAATGTACACACGGCTAAATAAATACAAACAGATGGCTGTAAAATGAACAAACTCTCTTGGCTTTAACAAATATTAAGATTACTTATAGTCCACGCAACAATAATCGGTAGCACTATAGATACAGCAAATTATTTATTTATTGGTAGTATTACCGGTTTACTATTATTGAATATTTATAAATAGTTTTAGTGCACACTATATTTTTACCTAGCTCAACTAAAAAAAAAATCAAAGTGACTTTATTTTAAATGCAACACAGTACAAGAAGGGCTTCCGCGTATAGAGGTCGTAATCTTTTTTTTTTAATAACGTACACACGTATGTTAAGACATAGCCCTGCACTAGGAAAACCTTGTGTCGCGGGTGCCATGGATATAAAGATAAACAACCACAAATTACACCCAAACTCACGAGAGAAATAAATGTAGGCCATACAAATATTTCTCCCGGCCCGGGAATCCAATCTGGGACCTCTACGTGGCAGTCCAGTATGGTAACCGTTCGGCCTCGGTGCCAGCCACAGTGGCGACTATTCCGTAAATATAAGAGATACTAAAAACTTTTAAGCTGATGTCGAAAGTACGTTACCTAATGAGTAAACCGGCATCAATGACTTTTTAAAAATAAAACTAGAATTAATCGACGTTTTTACGTTCATTCCAATACATTTAATACGACATTCGCAGAGAGGCTTTAGTTTTCCTACTTCGAACCACTTGCTCTACTTTGAATACATTTTGTACTTACTTAAAAATAAATATGATTTTGTTTTTTATTCAATTAAAAGATAGTTTTATTACTTTATTAACTGAACCGAAAACAAATGTTACGTTTAATGTTAAAATTTTTAATATTGCTAGTTTAAAAAAAAGTTATTGATGTCGTTTTACTCATTAGGTAACGTTATTTCGACATCAGTTTAAAGGGTTTTGGTATCTCTTAAATTTAGGGTACCGTCTGAGCGCACTTAACGATTACACCCTGTATATCCCTTGACTGCAACAGATGTACAGGAAAGGAATGATAAGTTATGCGTGGAGGCTTCTTCACCCATGATAACCAAGAAGTTCATAAAGAAAATAATGTTCCGATATTAAAATGTGCACGGGCAATTAAAAATTTTGACCGAGAACTAAAAGTTGCATACTTATATGAAATAATAATCTATTGTCATAATTGTTTCTTACTTTCCTAAGTAGGTACACAACGGGTTGTCAACAATAATTATTCCACAACAAGTGTTTTGTGTAGTTTCTCGTAAACTTTCACATTGAGTTTCCCTCGACGCGATCGTACGAACTTTGACATTAACTTGACAATTGAAATTTGTCAAACATCGTGCTTGTTAGTTCTTAACGGTACGTAACTTAACGTAAATACAATCGTATTTGTTTAGTTAAAACAATGGGAATATTATAAAGTAAAGTAAACTTAAATAGAAACTTAAGGCCTACTCAGATTATGCAATATTCGCTACCGCTGTATCGAAAAACACCGCGCGGTATCCCGCCGGGTACTTGTACGAAGTTTTGCGCCATACCGCCCAGGTCGACGAGTGATGGTAAGCTTACTACTTAAGACTTAAGTTTCGCTTGCTTTGCGAAATTGGTTTCGCCAGACTGTGCGGCAACAGCGGCAAATTCACCTCCTCCACACACCCCAGTGACATTGTCACAAGTCAATGACAATTAGTCGACACAATGGACTCGTTTACGATGAAGATGTTCAAACAGTCATATCATAAATTTACTTAGATTTCATGTTACCCACGGTTACAGTGTGGTCTTCTTCACTGACGGCGCAGAAGCGGTAGTCTAGACGGGCGAAAATCAAGAAAGTTTCACTACCCGTACACGTACCCGACCGGGTATGGACCCGGTAGGGAAATCCGCATAGGAAGAAGTGGAAGTGCCTTAAGCCTACTATCACTACCACTGTCGCCAAAACTCACACAAACAAATGATAAACACTATGAAATCTTGATAATGATTAGTCCTAGTCTCTCTTTAAAAAGCTGTAACAAATTTTGGGCTGTTAATACAATTTAAACTTCACGCAGTCGCTATATCGTTGAAAGTTCCTTTATTTCTAGTTACGGCGATTTGAAATTTTATTCAACGTGCTGCCATCTTGCGGCCAGTAGCCGGACTGCGACGAACGACTAACATCTGAACGAATAGAAAGTAGTATCCACAACAGATGTGTTCTTTAACGCACATGTTGCATAATGAACTTCATTTCGATCAATTAAGTTTACAATTACCAAAACACTCGTGAAGCATTTTTTCGCTAAGTTTTTATTCGCTATTAGTGTGGAAAATTCCAGATGTTTACTTAGATTCTCTAAAAGATAAAACTCGACCATATTGCACTGGGATAATGTTTGCTTTAATTTTGTTAAAATAAGACTTACTGATGATATGGTATACCACCACAGATAATATTTTTGATGCGGCTATAATTTTTGCACACCAAAACAGTACAACGAAAGCGAAAATGAGCTCAAATAGGTGTAACTCCGCCTACAGTTGGCATGCATGCTACGATAACTAACCACGTCTACTGTATTTATTGTTCTGTGGTTGGAACAGTAGGAATACCTTATACCCACTCAGATCAGGTACCTACAAACAGTTGCGTATATTGCGTATATCTGAATAGGCCTTTGCACGTGATATACCTAAAAGCGTATTGTCGTTATGGTGATAAGATAATGCGACAAAATTTTTGCTCTATTTTATTTATTTAACCAATTTACTTTTAATTTAATTTTAATTTACAAATATACTTTGTAAACTGATTTAATTGGCTTTTCATATTGCCTAAGTATAGGTTGGAACATCCAAAAACGGTTCTGGTAGGTAAATGCAAAGCTGTAGATTATTTGGATTTCAATATGTGGATATTTTAATTTAATTGACGGAATTTGTAATCACGCCTGTAAATTATTACACCTTCTGTAGGAACGTACGGTACGTAGCACATTAGTTATTTAATTATTAACCTAAACACGTTGCATTGTTGCACTTACATTGATTACATATGTATTTTCAGTGCAATAAAGACCTTCCGACAGTACGGTGCTTGACATGTTTTACATCAACCTACCTCCTCCCAACACCATGCTCTGTATAAATATACAAAGTATATTAAATATTCAAATATAAAGTCAAAGTCAAAGAATCACTTATACCATAGGCAAAATATATTTTAAGCTACTGCTCGTTCAATAAACTAAAATTAAATAAACTTAAATGGTGTGGAGTACACTTTAAATCAATTTGTGTGAAATCTAGCGCTATGTCGTCTTTCCATACATCTGTATCTAACATGTAAGTCTTCAATTTTGTTAAGATCAATCTTAATTTTATTAAGATTATTATTTTAATTAAATAGCCATATTACAAAATTGACGACTACGTGTTAGATAAAATATGCTCCGGAATCTAATTGCATAAATTTATAGTTTCTCATAAAATAATCGTTTACCTCAGTTAAACGAAATCGTGGTACCATGAGTTTGGACTTAGTTCTTAGGTTAATTTGGTTCTTACTGAAACTATGTGTATA